GAAGGTGGTTCTTAAAGAGACAGAGGCCAATTTCAAGGCATTTAGAAGAGGAAGTGATGGGAAGATAAGTTTATTTTCTATTTAAACATAAAAACAGCATTTTGATAACAGGTAAAGGTGACATAGATACTTTATTAAGGTATAGTATTTAAATGTATGCCTGAGAAACACGTAATATTGCCCCCTTTAAACTGACTGGTTGTAGTTACTGTTGTTATTCAGCTCCCAGCTAATAAAGCTCCTGCAGCTGTCCTTTGCACTGATTTAACAAAATGTGTTGACATTAAAATATGAACATGACCAGGCAGCTGCCTCAGAGTCACAATGTTCACAAGATTCATTTTCTTCTTCTGCTATAATCCTAATGTCATCAAGACAGGCAAGAACTTGGTGTGGTGACCATCTCAGTAGTATTTTCAGTTGTTGTATTGATTGTAGCCACAGAAACCTCAAATATATTAAGAGACTCTGCAGCTCACCATGAAGTGTTTAGTGAGTGTGATTATACTGTGGTGTGATGATTGTTATCCTAGAAATGTCATTAAATTTCTATTTATACCCGACCCTGATTTGTGGAAGTGAAATTTGCATGTTTTTCATGTGAGGATAAGCTGATCTGTCACACAGGCTGTGCTGTGATGCTATTTTGGTTGGTGTCCTAAAAGAGTTTAAACAGACAAATTACAGTTGGTACTGATGGATGGATGGATGGATGGATGGATGGATGGATGGATGGATGGATGGATGGATGGATGGATGGATCATAAATGGATGGATGGATGGATGGATGGATGTATCATAAATAGTAAGTAAGTAAGTAAAGTTTTATTTATATAGCACCTTTCACAGAAATAAATTCTCAAGGTGCTGTACATCCAGGGAAGGGGGCAGTTAAGAAACACCCATTCAAGAAGACAAACATGGCAAACATGGGGGAACAGGTGAAACAGGTCATGCAGCAAACACAGTTGCGCTACCTTTAACAACAGAAAAACTAAAAGCTACACAAGGGAAGATGAGGGAAAAAAAACAAAAACATCATTATATCAACACTGTGGCACACTATGGTGTTTATGGAAAAGCCTCTGCATAGAGCACATTTATTAGCCAGAGGAGTAAGTGAGTTCAGCTGGGCCCGAAGTATCCAGTCCCCTAAACCAGTGCAGCCATAGTTCAAAATATTGATGGTAAACTGTTCATTCTATGTGGCCCTCAGCCTGCTCCAGGAACCATATCACAGGAGGAAGGTGTGGGGCAGATGAATGATGGATGGATGGATGGATGAAGGATGGATGGATGATGGATGGATTATAAATGGATGGATGGATGATGGATGGATGGATGGATGGATGGATGAATGGATGATGGATGGATTATAAATGGATGGATGGATGGATGAAGGATGGATGGATGAATGGATGAATGGATGATGGATGGATTATAAATGGATGGATGGATGGATGGATGGATGGATGAAGGATGGATGGATGAATGGATGAATGGATGATGGATGGATTATAAATGGATGGATGGATGGATGGATGGATGGATGAAGGATGGATG